CTATATCTATATCTATATCTATATATATATCTATATATATATATGTATGTATGTATGTATGTATGTACGTACGTACACACACACACACACATATATATATATACACACACATATATATACACACACACATACACACACACACATATATATATGTGTGTGTATATATATATATATATTCATCCCAGAAGAAATTTCCTGAGAATCCTTGTTTAAATTCTGTGCCCCACATGTAAATGTTGAATTTTAAGGGGCAAAAGAAAGGGGAGGGGTCTCCTTAAAGACTCTGAACTCGATGGTTCCATCAGGAACACTCAGTTTAAATGGACAAAGAGAGGCGAGAAAAGAAAGATATTTGTCTAAGCCTTACAGACAAGAAAAGTCCTGAAAATCCAATATATTCAACCAATATGTTACAATGATGTTTAGTCACCTTGGGAGCAATTTCATTTATAAGTTTTTTCTTTTTGCAAGCATGTGATTGTTGCTCTGGAGGCAAAGTTAAAATCCAAGAAACGTGCTGTTAACAACTTCTGTGTAATACTAAGTCTAATTGTAACTAAGAATTCTCCAATTAGAAAAGAAAGAAAAGAGGATTTGAACCCTGCTGGATATGATCAAAGGTTCTCTTGATTCAACAAATTTGCTTGTCATCACAACCAGTAGTTGCTGCCAGAAGGATCACAATCAGGGCAAATAAGCCAAGATTTCACAGAAGGTTTTCAGGATCTAAAAGTTACTGCAGTAGATTGGATAAGGATGTCAATAACTGTAGCAGCAACAGCAAAATATCCAACAGGGTCTATTTCAAAGAAATGGTGATATTGATCCTAAGATGACAGATCTCATTCAATTAAGGACATGTTATTCCTTGCCATATGAAAGAGTTAAAGATATTTCTCTTTTTTGTTTCCTTTGAATTAGTCTTCATTCTTGGTGGACTCCCTGGACAAATCCATGCAGTTTTCTTGCCAATATTTTTCAGAGGTGGTTTGTCATTGTGTGCTTCCTAGGGCTGAAAAGAAGTGATTGACCTGACATCACCAAGTTGTGTCTAAGATGGGGACTAATACCAGATGCTGAACATCAACCTCAAACCCCAGCATTTCCCCCCTCTAAATTGTTCCCACTAGCCTTAACGGTGGGAAGAAAGTGGGAGAAAGATCTTGGATAATTCAAATGTTTGATTAAAGGAATCAGACCACTGTTGACACAAGCAAGAATTTTGATTTTTGTACAGAGTAAGGGGATAAATATAAATGTCTAAATGGTCCTTTCTAACTTTGTGTTCTTTAGCTGAACATTTCTTGCTATCTTGATCAGCCTACTGCCTATAAACTACATTGTTATATCTTGTGCTGGTACATTCCCCTTTGAATACATTTTCACAGAACAAGTTGAACATCTGATTTGCCAAAAAGATAAGAAACAGGACAAAGAGGCAATCATCTGGAGATAACCCAGGCAATTCTGGGAGTGCCGAGGAAAGAAGGAAATCATCAATTGATGTTGCATTATTATTGTCCTCCTACAAAAGTCTCAGAACTGGACAGCAATGACAGTAATAATTTGTATAACAAGAACCTAGCATTTACACAACTGACCACTTGGCTTTCACTCTATATATAATTATTTTCTTGCAATTCACAATTTGCCATCTTAAACATCATTTTGTGGTTATAATAAATTAAACTGTCCTATAACTACTACTACTCGACTCTCTAAATCAGGGGTGTCAAACTCATGTCGTCACATCATTGTGTGATGTATTGTGACCTTTTTCCCCTTCACTAAATCGGGGGCATGGCCAGTGTATGATGCACCCGGCCTGTGGGCCGTGAGTTTGACACCGCTACATTTCTTTATATTTCAAAAGACTATCAGTATTACAAGTATTAGTCCAAAGTCTAATATTAGTCCAAAATTGTATCCATAATGGCACCGAAGTAGAAGAGTTATGGCAAAAGTTAAAAGAAGACTTAAGATAGAGTCCTGACAGAAACTATTTAACCAATCTGTGCCTTTAGTATTAGTTTATTGCGATTAAGATTATCTTATCTATATAATCGTCAAAGAATAAACTTGTACTAGAGGGCTGTTTTGGGGTGGTTGGTCTTCAAGTAAGCAATGCAATTTTCAGTTGAAACTTCTATTTGCTACTCTATCTGCCAACAGCACAAATAATGCTTTACACTAGCTATTATGTACAGGTTTCCTGAACTAAACGTATTCCTGGCAAGTTTATGCATGTATGTTTTATGGATGTCTCTCATGCTTAAAATATATGAGAGATCCATAAAACGTATGTGCATAAACAATAATGACTGAAGAGTTTCATAGCAAGAGCAGCATATACAACAAAGTACGATTTATAGTCTCCTGCATGCTAATTTTCTGCCAAGAATGTAGAGAATTACATTCCTGCTTCTGGTTTAACATCTTCCAGAGTGCAGTTTAATAAATTGCATGCAATTTATTGTAGCATAGCAAACAGAAAAATTCAAGCAACCTACACATACACCCATGGGAGAAATTACAGAATATAAATCATTAACAATTAAAATCTGAATATGACCTCAATAAGTCTATGTTGATAGGGAAAGATTAACAGATGTTTCACAGAATATAGAAATTTGAAGATCTAGCATGAACTTCATTTGGAATCTCGGTCAAGATATTATAACACCATGGGATGCAAGTAGCTCCTCATAAAAACTCATGAAAGGGCAGACTGTTATTGCCATTTCCATACTGATATCTTTCACCTACCTTATCAGTGGGAGTTAATTTAAGCAGGTTTGAGGCAGGTTGTATTTCAGCAACAGGTGCTTCTAAATCATATGTTCTGTGATAAAGTACGGAATGAATTTTTCTGAATACCTCCTTATGAATCTTTAACTACTGCAACAGTCCTTTCCAACAGTTGATTGTCCAGTCTAGACGTTCTCTCCCAAAGTAGTTTCTTTTTTTATTGACAGAATAAAAATGCAAATGTCCCCCAAATACCTACATGATTTATTACACAAGAAAATTCTGCAGCTAACAGAAGTTCATGATCTAGAATTGCAAAGCTCTTTTCATAGGAGTTTGTTCCATTGTGATAATTTCCCTTTATTCCTTCTACGAGTGATGTTTGTTTTTTTATTTCTAGCACTTGAGCCTAGTTCTCTTGTATTGTTAAATTTATCCCTCTTGGTGTTTCATGGGCCTTCCTTCTATAGCAGTTCTACAATTAAATCAATCATTTCAATTTGACTGTTACAATCTATTTTAAAGTCAAATATAGACTTGTTTCACATATATTGCTTGATAACAAATGAACTCTGCAGGGTGGGTCTCCTAATAAATTGTTTCATTTTTGGCAGAAATCTTTGTTACAGGTTAACCAATAATACATAATGCACACAGATCCTTCAAAACCAGGATTAATTCAGTAAAATATAATTAACTGGCTTGGGATATAATTGAAAGATATGGTTTCATTGAAAGTGGAAGTAGTTTGTTAAAGCACAGTATATAGTTTAAGAATGGAAAAAACTGGTTGAAAAATCTATCAATAATGAGGAAAGGCAGCAATAATAGACAAATGAATAACAGGGGCTCCTTTAAATAGACCAAGGATAGGAGATCTGTTGCATTTCAAAAGTGTCTGCAGCTGTAATGCTATCCAGCCTACAGAGTTGAACTAGAAGGACTGTTGAGAGTTACAGTTCCTCAATTTCTGAAAGCCTATAAGCAAATAAGCCTATAAGCCTATATGCAAAACATACAGCTACCTATGAATTTTGGAGATTTTACTGGGCCCATTTAAGTGTATGGGTGTAGCAAAAAAAAATAGAACCCATCATTTATTTTCATTTTTCATCACTGTTCTTGTTATAAGACAAATTCCCAAATTGTGCACAAGAAAAAATAAATTCAGTTCAACCATCCCCTTAGCAGAAGACCTCTGAAGTGGAGATATCTTAAATGATTGGGCTATAATATAAAATTGTCTATGGGAAACATTTGCTTTCTTCTAATCTACAAATACATCCAAGTCTTATGTCTTATTCTTTCACAAGGTATATTCTTCAGTTCAAGAGTGTGCTCTGTTAATTATAATTCAAAGAATAATTACTTTATCTTAAGTTAATTGATTTAAGTTTTCTGCTTTATAATAACCAAATATATATAACCAAATCTCATTAAAAAGCAAGGAAGGTTATCTCTACCTGCTGTGCAATTAAATGCAAAAATGGGTATTCTAATTGACAGGCCATTTTCCAGATAGGCTTTTTCCCAGCACCTTTAAAATAATCAATTGGTAATGGAGGACATTTTCTTACTTGTGAGAGATGATTGTGGGAGGCAGCTGTTTGTGATCACCAGCCAGGATACACTTCCTAACCTTCAGCAGTGGAATCCAACAGCTTGCTTCAAGAGCTTGAGCACATTCATCAATCACCACAAGATCAAAGTGGTTCTCAGGAAGAAGCTTCAACGGACCATCAGAAGAAGCACCTAATTAAAAACAAGATTAAAAACTACACTGAGTCTTTCAGCACTGCAAAAATGGAAAAGGACTAGTTGTCTTAAAAGAGTGTGTCTTCTGATTCCTAGGTGCTTTCTGAGCGTGGTTGTTTACCTGCACATGTTTCATACCTGATTAGGTAATATTATCTAAACAGGTAATGAAACATTAGCAACCAAACAACAAAGCTCGGAGAGCACCAAGGACTCCATAATTCAATCCTGAGATAGATGGACGGATGGATGGATGGATGGACACACATATACTGTATTTTTCAGAGTATAAGTCTCATCCTTTTCCCCCCTAAAAGAGGGCAAGTCTTATACATTGAATGTACCCCACCCACCCACCGGCCCCTACCCTTTGGCTTCTGCCTCCCAGCAATTTACCTCCTTGCAGCAAACGAGGAAAATGATCGGGAGGCCCATGCTGAAACTGAAACTTGCTGTTTGCTGCATGAGGCAAATTGCTGGGAAGCAGAGGGAGATTTTTTTTCTTGTGCTAATCAGGCTGTTTGCTATATATGCTTATAGACTATAAATGCTTATAGAATGTTCAAATGATTATACTTTTTTTTAAAAAAAAGATTGCCTTAGTTCTAAACAACTTAACAAAATGAAGAAGCTTTTTAAAATAAATGCTTCATCTGAAGAGGTCCAGTGCTATTGTATCTTCATTTAAATGGCAGAGAATAACTATACTTCCAGAAAGCCACATCAATTTTAACAGCAGCTGTACAAGTATAGTCTGAAATGTAACACCACAAACAGTGTATATTGTCTGTACTATTTGCTGTTTGTTGCAAGGAGGCAAATTGCTGGGAGGAAGAGGCAGATCCCCCCTCTTGTTTTCCTCCCCAAAAGCTAGTTGCATCTTATACTTTGGAGTGTCTTATATTCCGAAAAATATGGTACATATTTTCATATTCCTCCTGCATTGGATTGCGTCATTATTGCCATTCTTCAAGTTGTATGATCTTCAATTACATGCAAGTGAAGTTTCCAATGATATCGTCAATTTTCTTTTCCACCAGAAAATTCTACTGAATAATAGTAGACATAACTAAGTTAGAATGGATGCATTACCTTCCTTGAAATCAACAGATTTCAGAAAGCTAAGTAGGGTTGAGTTTGGTTAACAGCTGGATAAGAGACCACCAGCAAATCCCAGAGCTGCAGACTTAGTTTAGGAAGTCATAAAAATAGCAGAAGACAGCTATGGCAGATTGTTGCCAGAAAACAACACAGACATGGTCATGCCAGTTGCACCCTCCTTGTAAAATTCTACCTTTTTATTCACAACTGTTTATTTGCAATAAGAAATATGTCAAAAGAAGGGGCAGAAGTAAGAGCTGGCAGATTTACGTGTGAAATGAAAAGAAATTGATTTGCAAATCTATAATGAAAGAGCTGCCGAGTTTATATCTAAGGAAGGACTTAGAGCTGCAGGGTGCCCATAATCTTTACCTATTCTGCAGACCCAATGGCAGGCCAATCTACATGAATCTTCCATCTCCATAATAGGAAAACAGACACCAATGGGAATCCCACAAGGAGGATTTGAGTGCAACCGCATCCACCGGCTCTTTTCCCCACCAACTAACATCCAAAAATATATTGTTTTTGTATAGTTTTCTTGGCAATGATATGGAAGCAGCCTGCCCATTAAGCTGGCTGACAACAATGCCACCAATGAAGTTGCCTAACAATAAAATCTCCATGAATCATAGGGCCAAATGGCCATGTAATAGCTAAAAACATAATTTACAAGCAGGGAAATGAAGTATTGGAAATAACATATTTATTCTTAGACTTTTGCTTCCTCCTAGACTGGCAATCACAATCCAGCTTCAGAAAGGGAGGCTAAAATGATTTGCACTTATGGAGCACATAGAAAAGAACAAAAATGAAGACTTTGAATAAAATAAAAATTATAGTTCTCAAAATAATAGATTGAATGAGGCAATGGCAATCTAGTGGAAAAATAGCAGGAATGAGATAAAAATGTCAAGGCAAGTCTGGGACTGATCAAGCCTTGGTTATAGAGGTGCCCCATCTTGTTTCTTCTCAGCCTAACTAGCTAGGCTGGGATGAAGCAGGCCAAATGGCCATGTAATAGCTAAAAACATAATTTACAAGCAGGGAAATGAAGTATTGGAAATAACATATTTATTCTTAGACTTTTGCTTCCTCCTAGACTGGCAATCACAATCCAGCTTCAGAAAGGGAGGCTTAAAATGATTTCCACTTATGGAGCACATAGAAAAGAACAAAAATGAAGACTTTGAATAAAATAAAAATTATAGTTCTCAAAATAATAGATTGAATGAGGCAATGGCAAGCTAGTGGAAAAATAGCAGGAATGAGATACAAATGTCAAGGCAAGTCTGGGACTGATCAAGCCTTGGTTATAGAGGTGCCCCATCTTGTTTCTTCTCTTAGCCTAACTAGCTAGGCTGGGATGAAGCAAGAACGTGTGAATGAGTGCAGCGTTTAGGGCAGAAAGTAAACAGTAAAAGCTGCAAATCTGCATTTGTGTCTAGGTGTCTAATGAGTTTTTGGATGAAAGACAAGTAATACTTGAGATGTCATAACATTCTCTATACAGCCCTGAGGGGTTGTACACACATAATAGTTTGAAAAGTAAGAAAAATATTTAAAGATCAGTTATATGGGTCTGAATTTTGAGTTGTATGTAAAATTACACCAGTCCTGGTTTATTCCAATTTAACCATTCTGGGAAAATCCTAGTGTATTGAACTCAGTTAATTAAAAGCCAGTTCTGTTCCTTGGGTAAAAGCAATTAAGTTTGCCTGCTGAGCATAGCAATAAAGTGACAAGATTGGGTTGCACCAAATAACCTTTCAGAAGAGAGAAGGCAACAATGATTTCTACCTTTAGTTATAAAAAACTGGGTAATTGCTGCAAGGGGAACATGCTTCTAAAAAAAGAGGGGGAGAGGGGGAGAGTGGAGTAAGAATCGACTGCAGAGAAATTGATGATTCAACACTGTAAATCTTCATTCTTGTCTTACATGTATGCCACTGATTTCAAACCAATTCATTTGCAGAAAATATGTAACTGTACATAACATGAACACATATGCAGAATTTATGCTTATAAAGGGAACAAAAAGATGATTGTAGAGACACACACATATACATACATACACACGCATGGATGAACAAATGGAAAGGTGCTGAGTACACTATTCCCAATTGCCTTTTAACAAATAAAACAATTTTTGCATTTTGCCTCTAAAGCCACAATGTTTGAAGTTTTGCTTCTGACAACCAGTGCAAACCAGGTTTCTATGAAAAAGGCTAAAGGGGAAAAGGATTCCTATGCTTGCTGTAATAGCCCCACATTTTCAGAAAACATGTTATTATTTCAAAACCTTGATGGTGGACCTAGTTATTAGACCAAGCACCTCAAAACCACCTAGATCAAGGCAACTACCAACAAGTTCTTAAAGTTATTTCAACAGTGATTGGGAGAAAAGGTTATTCTCAAGTCATTTGAATGGCTATTCCACACAAAATGGTGGACATGGGTGGAGACTTGTCACTTGAGAATTCCCTTTCCTGGGCTGGCTGTGATGGTGTGGACAATGCACGTTGATATTTACCACACTAATTGCAAAGTTGGTGTTTGCCTCTGTAAAGGTGAATACCACTTTGTATGAAGTACCTTGTCCCTCTGCAAATGAATATGGTCCTTTTTTAAGGACATCACTTAGGGTAGGATGAAGAGAATAAGACTGAACAATCTCATCATCAGGTCTTGGCACCTTTCCAGGAGAAGTAAATGAAATTGACAAAGGAGTGAGCATGATTTTACGCCTTCTATAGATTGTAGAATAAAGTATTTCTTTTAAATAACATCCAGAGCTTGCCCAGAATTCTTTGGTATGAGAAATTTCAGAGCAGAAGGGGAATATAATTTTTAGTAAGAAATTGGAACTGATATTGTGTTAATAAATCAACTTTGTAGAATAGACATTTTAATGTGTATTCTTTACACAAAATTATCTACAAGGTTTCCTGAAAATTATCCTTATGGGATCGGAAACAGTTCCCCAAACATAAATAATTGCAGTCTGGTTGAGTCCTCTCCAAGAAGCTGTGCAGATGAGTATGCACTTGGAAACAGGAATAAATTCCCTCCTTTGCTGGTTCAAGGGCTTAATTATTCCTATAAATAATGCATAAATTCCTTTCCTTCATTAAATGGAACAAGAAAATGGCAAGCAATGCGTTGTAAAATGTGAACAGCGGAAATTGTCTGCTGTTCAAATTCACATAGTATTGGTTAGTGATCAAATCACCTAATCACAGAATAAAATTTGATCAAAACGAAAAAGATAAATTGGGCAGCAAGGCTGGAATCTAGTGGTTAAGACTTCAGGTTAGAAAGCAGGAGACCATGTGTTCAAGTCCCATCTTAGCCATGAAAGCCAGCTGGGTAACTTTAAGCCAGTCACACACTCTCTCTCTCAGCCCAACCCACCTCACAGGCTTGTTGTTGCAGAAAAAATAGAAGAAGGAAGATGCCTTGAACTACTGGTAAAAATAATAAAGAAAGATACAAACAAACAAATAAATAATACAGTTCACTGTTTATGTTTATAGATTTGATCACTAACCAATACTATGTGTTCAAAGATATACTATGCAGTTTGGAGTTCCAATTTAAGTAGAATACAGTTACAAATGGAACAGTTAGATGAATAATAATCAAATTAATTATTTGATTAAACCTTATAGGCAAATCTAGAAAAATTCTTCTAACCTGTGTTTGTAGCAAGAATAACGTGAGCTTTTTGCAAAGTTTCAGACATAGCCATTTCTTCTCGTTCCTTCAGTTCCTTTCTCAGTATCTTAATTTCATTAAAAAAATGTTTTCTCTCTCCTTTGTCTTGGGTCTTCCTTGTTTTCATCTGCATAAGAGAGACAATGATCTCAGTGCAGCACATATTTAGTAGTCAAGATAATTGTAAAACAGCAGCAGGATTTCTCTGATAAAATGCTATTAGAACATCACAAATGCTTTTTGGGTGGATCTTCTCCAATCTGACCCCATCAACTGTCTGGGGACAATGGGAGTTGTAGTTTAGTATGAACATATGGCCACTGAAGCGGTTGATAACAGTGCTCATTAAATTCTTGATATTTTTAAATGTATACCTGCTTTTCTGCTTATGTAAATATTCAAAGCAGCTTACAGTAATAAAAACCACTACTGTATAATTAATTTTGCATAGTAAAAATCAAAATGAAAACCAGTATCATTGAAAACAATTAATAATCAAAAGTCAAAACTGAAAGACGGGATTATTTGCCATTTCCCTAAATAAAGGAAGAACAGGAGACAAATATTGGAGCAGTGCTTCACAATCTCAGCAGAGATTTAAAATGTGTGGCCTTTCCTAGGCCACATGATATTGAGTTGAAATCCACACATCTTAACGTTGCTGGAATTAAAAACATTCAGATAGCCCTCACTTAACAACCCAGAATTAAGACTGGAGTCTTGGTGATTGAGCAAAGCAGACATTAAAGGAGAAACCCACCTGGGTCCTTCACTCAGTAATAGTGATCCCAGCCCTCCTGTTGCGGTCATTAAATGATCTTTCAGGCGAAGCAAATAGAGTCCCTCACAATGCCTCTGAAGGGTTTTTGGGCTGCATGCTTGCTTGTCTCAAGCAGGAACAAAGCTGGTCATTCTTCTTTCCCTGCCTTAGGGAAGCTTTCGGCAGACAGGGAGAGAGGGATTCTGGGGTCCATGTGTGACTGAATTTCAGTTGCCAAAGTTCAAGCAGGCATGGATCGGCAAGAAGCTCTTTCATCCGGTTCCACCACAAAACCGGGATAGACTAAAGCGCGCTCGACGAAAGCGCGTACCTGACATCATCACAGCGCGACGAAAACATCACGCTGTGAGCGGTAAAGTTAAAATTAACGCGAAAACCTTACCCTAACCCCCCCAAACCTAACCCTAAACCTAACCCTAAACCTAACCCTAACGCTTAACGTAACCCTAAACCTAACCCTAACCCTTAACCTAACCCTAACCCTAAACCTTACCTTTACGTGAATCGGCTTGCTTTAAAAGCGCTTTTTAAAGCGCCCTTTTTTCTCCGCGGTCATATTTGACGCGCTGCTGATGACGTCAGGTACGCGCTTTAATCGGGCGTGCTTTGTGGACCGCAGTTTTGTCGTGCCACGCTTTCATCCAGCTTCCAGAGAGTGAGAGGGAGTGCTTTTGGTAGTCGGCAGTAGTTTTCAACCTTTCCTGCCGGCTTCCCCATCAACTCTCCAGAGAGGCTAGCGGGAAAGATGGCAAGTGGCAATCACATGAGGGAATGCTTAAAAAATGATTGCCAAGCACCCAGATAGTGATCATATCACCATGGCAGGGATGTGGTATTTTGCGGTAGTTGGAAACGCTTTACTTTTTCGGGACCTTTGTAATTCTGACCTATCATTAAGCGTCTGGTCATTAAGCAAGGACTACCTGTACTGCAGTGGAATAAACATTTTAAAGGCCCATTCCTGAAAACAGAACACTTGTGGCAGTACTGCGGGAGCTCCTTCAAAAGAGCCTCTTTTGCCATGTGGGAAAGATCATCATGGTATCGACATAGTCAAAAGCATGATAATATAGGGGGATTCGAAATTTCACATCTTAAATTATGTCCAGTAGGCAACCAGCAACCAGTATAGATTTTTCCCCCTACACAGTGATCCTATATTTTTTCTGAACATTTTAAGGATGGGTCAAAGCAAAAAGGGTTGGAGGGGAAAAAAAATCAGTTTTCAGAGGCAAAGAGAAAAGTGAAAGGGATAATTTTTAGAATACAAAGGAGTTGTTATTTAAAGAGAAGTCGCCAAAGTGCTAGTCATTTGCTCCACTTCTTTTTAGTTTAAAGTGATCTTCTGGTTTCTTACAAAAGTGCACAAATGAAACTTGCAAGGTATCATCACCACCAGGAGAACTAAGGGAGGACTGGAGATCACTGTCCTTGTTCTCCAATGAGAACTCTTTATAGTTTCTGTGCATAAATTATAAATCCCTTATGCTCCTCTGAATAATTAATTTTGGCCCAATCAAGAAAAGTAGTGAAAATGACTTTGGGGATCCTAGGAATGGTGAGTGTGATGCAAAGGCAGCTGACTTTCCATTTAGTGCGAGCCAATCAATCCTTGACTTATACCTTTCATCCTTCATCCTTACAATTTCTCTAGGGACGTAGTACAGCTAGAATATATTGCATGCCTCTACAGAAGTTTGCAGCTGAGCTATCCTTGGTGAAGAGATTACTCTCAAAATTCCCCAAACCTCATCTTTTATTAAAATCAATTTTCTAGCCCTGAAAAGGACAAAGCAAACAATAAAAATAACATTAAACTTTACAGAAAATCTTAAGTTGAACTGTATTAAAAAGTGCCACTGAAAACACTCAGTGCTGAGCACAGCAGAATTTAAAAGATAACAAATAAGCAAGCCACTTAACATTTTCTCCTTTCAACCCTCACATAAATGCCTCTCTTTTCTGCCTGCTTCGCAAGTAGTCCTCGACTTATGATTGTACATTTAACAACCATTTGAAGTCACGATGGTACTGAAAAAAGTGATTAACCATTCCTCACACTTATAACAGTTGCAGTGTCCCCCTGATCATGTGATCAAAATTCCAACAAGCAAAGTCAATGGGAAAAGCTGAATTTGCTTAACAGCATAATTTGCTTAACAACCACAGTGATTGCCTCAAAGGTGCTTTTTCAAGAGGCAATTGGACTTTCTGGTTAAAAACTAAACAAACACAGAAAGTACTCAGGAGAGAAGGGAAGAGAAAAACTGAGTAAGGAATCTCAATTTGATCTTAACAGTGCTAGAAAACTTGGGAAAAAGAAAATGGAAAGAAAAGACTGAATCCTAAAGAATCCTGAATATTCTACAGAGTACAGATAGTCCTCAACCTACCACCACAATTGAGCCCAAAATTTTATGTTGCTAAGTGAAAAATTTATTAAGTGAATTTGTCCCAGTTTACAACTTTTCTTGCCACATTTGTTAAATAAATCACTGCAGTTGCTAAATTAGTAACATGGTTGTTAAGTGAATCTGGGTTTCTCCACTGACTTTGCTTGTCAGGTTACAAAATGACTTCTGAACATTGCAACTGTCATTGCAACTGTCATAAATATGAGTCAGTTGTCAAGCACTGGAATGCTGCAATGGTCATAAATATAAAAATGGTTGTAAGTTATGATTTTCAGTGCCGTTGTAGCTTTGAATGGTCATTAAATGAACTGTTGTAAGTCAAGGACTACCTGTATAATGTTACGTCAGAGTCAGATACAAAGCTATAGATGTTTTTAATTTTAGCCATTCAACCCAACATTGCTTAGATACCTACTGAGTTTTGGTTCAATTTCAAGAAGACACATATTCAATCATTTCTGCACAGCACTGTACTCATTCCAAGAATACAATGTCACCAAGAACACTATAGATTTATAGTGTATAGATTTATATCCACAATTTATTCTGCAGATTATTTCAAAGAATGGCTGTAAAAATGTAATACAAAACCTACAAATGCTTGATCAATATCCTTCCTGATATCGGCTACAATCTGGGCATTATCTCCACGCGACAGGACAGCATCCAGTGAATGGTGCTGTACAGACTCCAGGAGACGAGCTGGGCGACCCAGACGCAGGATCCGCACCTTATGATCAGAGAGCCTTTCCACCAAGTTATCGACTGCAATGTTAGAGGGAGCGCAACAGAGAACCTAGGAAGAAAAAATATCTCTTTAAACAGTATTAATTTGCTTCACTGAAATAGCTACTGTCTTACACAGATTCATATCTATAGTTTACAGAAACGCTATAAGCATCAATGTCAAAAGGAAAAGGAGGTTGTTTTATAAGTGCCAGGAAAATAAATTATTCTCAAATAAATGCTGGATCAGGATATGACCTGGATTTTGAAGGTCTTTATTATATGCCAGACCTCTGAGCTAAAAGGAACAGTACAAATTCAAAGGATTTGAAACCAGGATCAAGGACAAAAGTTACTTTGAGATACTAGTCCCAGCCAAATTAACTTCTAACCTGCCAAAGATCTTTCAGCTTTGTCCTTTTCTTTTATATGCCTGTAATGGTACCCTTTAATTCCAAAGGTTTATTTCTATATCTCACTGAACCTCAGAAGTTCCAGGAGCTCCTCTGAGCAGAAACAGTTGTACTTCAGCCAAGAACGTATAGAGAGAGATTAGCAGGGAAACAAAGGTTTTCTAGAAACACTGGTAGCCTGGATGAATTAGTAAAAACTTCCAAGGTTTTTCCCTAGCTTCTAAGTGGAAATAAGAATATTATTCATTGCAAAGAACCCAAAGTATAAGATAAACATGGTGATTTTTAAAAACTTGTATTCATGAAATAAAATGATGTATCTTTCTGCTGAGATTTTGACTGGAGAATCAGACCTTGTATTACTCCCCTAGCCAATCTTTGATACTGCCAAATGGCCATTCTCTAGAATCTTCCAAGGTTTATATTATATCCAAATTTCCATACTCATGACCTAATGTTTTTCTAAATGTATTTATTCTGAGGACAAATGTATAGATTTTAAAATACCACTGCCACCCACCCAAAATTATTTGTTTCTGTCTCAAGGTTTGATTTTATACTAATAGTATACTACATTCTATTATTTCTTTTCCTAGTAGTGTAATATCTTAGATATGGGAGAGGGAATTACTTTACTCAGGTTATTTACCCAGAGATCCATTTTATTATGAAAATTAAAACTTTATTTAACAATAACATTTTGTGAACAGAGAGCATTGGGAATTGTAGATTAACACACACAAAACTCTTCCTCTAAGCATAATAATATTACCACACTGTAGTTTATTTTTCTATAAGGGCTATCAATTATTATTTGTTTTATACTTACAGTTCAATTCCTTTTCCTTTATTTTCTCTCTTTGTAAAATTATTCCTTCCCTCTCCCCTCAGCCCAAAACCTTTTAGACACTTTGTTAAAAAATAGGCCAGTTAACTTTTTACTTAAATTATATTAGCACATCAACCTACTGTTCTATTACATACCTCCCTTTTAAAGTGAAGCATCAAGCATCCTCATATTTTTATACAGTAACAAATACATCATTATTGCACATAGCATTCTTTCAAACATTCCCATACAATTCTACACAAATTTACCTACAAACATTTCATCAGTTCCAACACTGTTTCCCCCCAAACATTAGAGCAACTAGTAATGGACAATACAATTAAGTACTGACTACATCCAAATATGAGGCATCTGGCCAGCAGTTCATGGCCCCAAAGCCCATTTCTGTCTCTCTTTGTCTCTCTCACACACACCTACTCTGCAAATGTTATACATATGCCATTTCTTGAACATGCCTTCAGAAATCGTGCGCATTCCATCATGAGATTTTTAAGAAGAGACTAGACGGTCACTTATCTGAAATGGTGTATCAAACTCACAACAACATGTTGTCGTCATGTGACATACTGCAACTCCCCCTTCGCTAAAATGAGTGGGCGTGACCAGCGCGTGATGCATCTGGCCCGTCGGCTGCAAGTTTGACAGCTGGACTAGAAGACCTCCAAGGTTCCTTCCAGCTCTATTCTATTCTAATACTCTGAGAAAAGCATGATTACCATCTGTATGTATTGTGGCCGTGTATGTATTATGACCGTTTCCAATTCACCTGCCATACTGGACTTAAAACACTGAGAAGATGCTATAAGCATGAAAGAGGCTGCAGGTCTATTAAGAACTGTAGGCAATACCCCTCACTCAGCCAGCTACCTCCCACCTCCTGCTTTAACCAAAGCTGAAATGTGCATCATTTTGAATGGCAAGGTTCACCTTCCATTCTTGCCCACAATAGAATGGTCTCAGAGACCTACGTTTCTGAGCTAAATCACTCTGACCTGGAAATAGGCATCTCCTCAGAAAATGTATTCATTCACTCACTTTCAAGCCTTGCTCCACAGCTTGGAGTATTATCTCCACCACAGTTGTCGTCTTGCCAGTTCCAGGTGGTCCATGGATGATAGCAAGTTCCTTCTGTGCCAGTGAAAAGCAAACAGCCTCCTTCTGAGAGGCATCCAGGGATTCATTGTAGAACTTCAAAAGCTCTGTAAGTGGCAGGAACATTTGTTCAGATCTCAGTCTCACCAAGAACATTTGCGAGAAAGGAGGTACAACACAAATAAGAAGAGGCTGTTTTTGGACATTGACCAGATTCTCAGTAAAGGAAGCATCCTGATAATTACTAAGAACAATTCTAAGCTCCCACTGAGGCCTGGCATCTCTCAAGAAAGTTTCTGTTTTACTGCAAATATTTTCAGCCTTTGAAAGAATAACAGAAGATTAATGAGCTTTAACAGCCCGTTGCCTTAACTGTTCCACCATACAGAATACATTCTTACTAGGAAATTCCTTGAAAAAACACAGACACCTTTCTTTCCTAAAAGTACAAATGTTTTAAACAATATGCTGAGCCAAAACCTTAATTTTAGCTTTGAACACTAATGTGTAATTAGATGAGCAGCAGCGTTTCATAGAACAACTGCTAACAATTCATTAGACAGTGACGTGGAAAGAGCAAGACGCACTACCTTGAAATGGCCAATAGACAATGGTGGCTGCTGGAAGAATGCAAGGAAAATATTCTTTGGTCATTTGGAAAATGCTTCCCTCCCCCCCCCCCTTTCTCTCTCTCGGGAGGGGGGCAATCCTAGCTAGGACAATAGAGCTAACAAGGATGACTATTAATTTCTGCCTTATTTTCCTGAAAACTCATGTTTTGAGTGCTGTGCAAACTTTAAAATAACTACATAAATGTCTATATCTTTATTTCTTAATTCAGGAATAATTTTTAATTTTTTCTTGATGATAGTTGCAGGGGAGGGAGTGGAACTGTCAATTAACATCCTGTGTAACATTTCACTTCTGCCTCTAGTATGCAGCCCCAGCTGGAATGGGGAAAGGGAACTTTCAGAAGACCCTCACTTCTGTAAAAATGTTACATGTTATTTTTTCTTTTGGTGTATCTCAGGAATTGATATTATGCCAATGTTGATATTATTGTTCCCATTATCATTATTATACCATTATTATTATTACTGTCCAACTCCTCCTCTTCATCCCACCAACTTTTCAAATGCAAAGATGAGGAGGCTTTTAGCTTGTTTGATGCCAGTATTGCAGGAAGAAGCAGCAGAACATTTATTCACCAAAATCCGGAGGAAATCAACTAAAATATAAACAGCAATTTTATATATAGGGGAGCAGTTGGTAAGTAGGAGTTGTTGTCATCGTTAGTTTGGCAAATACTCTTGGAACAGGCATTTTTCACTTCAGACTGGCAAAAGACACTAAATGGGCAATTTAATTCCTCTCTAGCTATAGGAGATGGCCCATCAAAAGGGGCAGTAGTGCCACTTTGTTGGATCAGGATGCCAAAAGGTTTTGCATTCTGAACGGCAAGAAAAGAATTATCTCTCCAAATTTGCTACTGCTAAGAATTGGAATGGCTCTTCTGCAAGAAGTAGAGAGGTGCTAGCCTTACAGTTTTACCATAAAGCTGTTTCTCAGGCAGATTTTATTAAAATAATGCAAATATCAAGTTTGTTTAAAAACACAAAAAGCAAATTACAGATGTTTGTAAAATCATAGTAACAGCAAGTCTTGTAATGATTGGTAAAGAATATGTTAGAAAGTTATCATCATCTTATATTTCCAACTATTTTTTATAGATTATCCAAGCCAGGGGTCCCTAACTCCCTGTCTATGGACTGGTTCCAGTTTGAGGCTCATTAGGGACTGGGCTGCAGAAATGGCGGGCAAGCGCACAAAATGATCCCTTCCCCCACCACTGCTGCCATTGGCAGAATGGGAAAGGTTGGGGACTGCTCAGCCAAGCAACATGTCATTTAAAGCTTTTTGGCTATGTTTTATAATATTTTTATTGTTAAAAATGTCACATGCACAATCAAAATTTCTTTTAATGCCTAAAAATAAGAACCTAAAGTAAATCCTCTTTCCACATATAAAACCAACCTTTAAAAATTGTTGTAAATACTTGAACACCTTAAACTTTCAATTATTTTAACATGAGCTGTAGGGACTTTTCTTTTAAAAAAAACATACTTTTAGTGCATTTTCCATTTACCATACTTATGTTCTGTTTCTTGCTGATGAATAAGGCAATATTGCAGCCCTTAGCAAAACAGTACAAACGAAAGATTCCAGTTCTTGTAACAGCATGAATGAGTTCTGGTTTGTTAGTCATGACTAAGCTACACCTTCAAAAGCCAAAAGTCCTATACATCACGAATGCTAAAAAAGCTTTTGGCTCCATTTGTCATTTTATACTGCATTCTAAGTTATTCACAAGATCAGATTCATTTATCAGCTGACAAATGCAGAATGAGGGAAAGCATGTCAGGCAAGCTGATAAGGTGTCTATTTGCCAAGGTGCATAAATAATCACTAAAGCAAATTATAATGCATCGGGTATTTTTCTGCAGAACAGATTCAAGAACAGGACAGTGCATCTATGATGCACATGAGTTATATGAGATAGTTTTAGTTAAAAAGGCAGAAGCTTTTTAACCACATTAAGTTACCTCAAAGATTAATTCATAGAACAAATTCCGCATTCCTTCACAGCAATGATTTTTGCCCCAGTATTTAGACTTCTTATTTTTCACAATTCACTAAAGGTATAAGCAGTTTATAAACTGCCAATTTTATGTTCTCTCAAGGAAAGACTGCAAGTGTTAGGGAAAACAGAAAAAGAGGCAGTAGTTACTGTCAACCTCAAAGTATATCATAATTTATGGCAAGTTGGTTTGGGCTTTTTCTGCGCCCCTTCTTTTGGATTTTATTATTTGAATGCTAGTAATTACTAGTATTTAACGAAGTGGACCTGCTTTTTGCTATGGGGCTGAAATTCAGTTACTCCTGAGTAACAGCAAGTCCACCTGCACGCAATTAGCAAAAAACAATAATGCTGAAGAAAGTAACATATACATGTATTTGTGTGTAAGCTTCAGGAAATGGTCTTCAGGCAGTTTCAAACAGAAAAATTTGCTGTTCCTTTTATGAGCCATCCCTTCTAGAAATGTAGGAACTACTGTACAGGACCAAAGGGCTGCTCACTCCAGCATCTCCTCCTACTATGGTGACATAATGGCAAGGCTAAAACAGGGCAGGAGTACAACACCATGCTCTTGTTTCTGTTTCCCAGTTAACACAATCAAAGCATCACATTTTTAATCTTTTCCTTAATATATCAGAATAGAGCAATTCCCAAAACTTAACTGGAATTATTTAAAACATAGAAGAAAAACCACTCAACCACTAAAAGTAGTCCAGGAGCACCAGCAAGTATTTGATTGCTTACACAAGCCTTTACCAGAGATAAAAACTCACGTAAGATTGATCTGATATTCTAGTTGGTTGGAATTCAGTGTGATCAAATGATTATAGGAAATGATGAAGGGAAAAGGGGCATTCTGGATTCACCTGCTGCCCTTGAGTCTTAAAGGCAGCACTCACTCACTTCTCCTCTGATAGTTGATCATAAGGATAGGTGGGATAAAAAGACATCTCCGTACAAAAGAGAATCTGACAAGAATAAAGATGAGCAGCACAAAAATTATTAGAATTTGTCTGGCTTTACAGGGATGCCTAAGTCTGTTTTTTTCTGCAGAAGCGGCACATTTTGGGAAAAGTGACAATAGCACTGTTATGGCTGTGCTGCTCATAGAAAAATGCTGACCTCTGGTGGTTACCAACTGTCTTTATATATGATTCCCAAATTCTAGGTTTCTCTATGGTGAGCTTTTTGGGTACTTATTTTTAATGTAGGTGTTTCTAAAAGTATTCTCTCTTCTATTCAGAATAGAATAACCCATTTTATTATATGCTTTTTCTGACATATCAATTGGCCTTTATTTCTATTGGTTGCCGTGTGTGTACGACTATGATCTTTTCCTCATAGACGGGCTTGCACATTTATTTATTTATTACGACTTATCTAGCCATCCATAATTTTTGAGGTCGTTTTAAATTGTTTCACTCAAGTTAAGGGGGGAAAAAATCTCTACAGATTTCAGTATAAGTATATTATTATGCTTGCTAACAGTAAGAATTGTGTTTACTCCTGGAATAATTGGGTTCTTGATAAATGGAAACAAAAAAATAAAGAGTCAGTTTATGAAATGTTGAACGTTATCTGCACAGGATCTATAAAGACAAATGGACAGTACGGAGCATGAGTACTGGATGCACATAATCTGGGGTTTGGATTATGAGTATGAGAGAGGTGATAATAAGCAAAATTAGAAAATGTGGTTTGATTTTATACCACAGGGGAAGGGACATACACGAGCAGATCAGATTTTTGTTCTTCAGAATTAATTGAGAAATATACAAATGTTTAAAAGCAAGTTTAGACACTTGATTTAAAGAAAGTAAATTATAAATAAATTCAAATTATGGAATACTTTTTGTGAATATGGGATTGAAGATTTGCTGGATGCAATAAAAGCAGTGTACTGTATACACTGAGATTAAGGCATAGATGAAAATAAATGAAATGCTTCAGGAACAATACAACACTAAACAGGAGCAAAGCCTGACGTAACTATGTTCAACTAGGAAAATGCAGGAAACAATTACAAGTTACATCTAAATGGTGAAAAACAAAACAAATGGACAAATTTCTGTTCCTTGCTAGAATGTTTACTAAAAGTGGAAAACTAGAGGGAGAATTGTCAAGATATGCATTATCCCACACTGTCTAAGCCTCAACAATCACCCTGCGTTCATGTGTTATGCCTTAGTAGGATGTCAGAATCTGGTCAACAACTATTGTTTTGATAAATGAATACACATTTGTACTTGTGCTGTAAAGATCTATAAAGACAATAGAGAAAAAAATACTTGCCCAGATATAAATGCTTACGCTATATGAAATAAATATTTATATTTGCTTAATATATGCCAGGTCAGTGCAAAATGGCACTGAACGAAGAAAATGAGGTTCATTTGTATCTTTTCTTCAAAAGAAATCACAAAGGGCAAGAGAGGAAGGCTTTTTAGGGACACCAGTTGTAGGTTAAATCATGCATACTAAATAACTTTATTTCCATAGATTTTTCACCATTCATTAAAGAAAAAAGCAGAAAGAGTTCTTACTTGTATCACTGGCATCACTAGGTTCAGAAGAACACAACAGCACATCAATAAGATCAGATGCTGGACCAGACCCATAGTGATTAAGTGTATTTAAAGCCCTTCCAAAGAGAAGAAAATAAAAAGACCTTTAATTTATTTTATTGCATCTTAAAGACAACTCCTTCTGAGCTTAGGAAATATTATCAAACAATAATATCTGAAATAATTACAAATGTTATGTGATCAGCTTGAAATGACATATCGTAGTCTCGGAACCATACTAAAACTTCCCAGGAACTTAGTATTATTAGTCTTGTAAGGTTAAATTAGCTTCTCTTTCACTAACTCCTTCATTCAGGGCTAAAAAAACTTCCAACCACATGCCAACTTAACCCAACAGGCACATGCCATCTGGAGCCTACTTGTTTCATCGTTTTCACAAGTGAAAGGCTCAGATTATGAGCATATGTTGCCAACATATGCACTACAAAGTGTATGACAAAAATGCAGCAGCCAATAAACCAGTGAACAAAAAATAGAGAAACATTTATGCATCTTTGAGTTTCAGGACCTAGGAAGATCATCCAAAATCTTGGTACAATGGAGCAAATGGACTGGTATCTCCCAGCTATACCTCGCATAACTATTTTCCTTACTCTTTTCAAGCATTTCCCTTACTTCTTTTCAGCATTCTGGTTATTAAATAATTTGATATTCTTTGTTTAAGACATAAAAGTTTCATAATCATTCTTTACCTTTTGAGTCTGTTGTATGTAACATCATTGGCAAGTTTCAACAGACGGTATAAATTCTCCTGATCTAAACTCACAAGGTTACTTTGAGGCTCATCAACTGCAATAGTTATTGAATTGGAGGCTATTCGGGTTACAATTCCTGTGCAGATCTGATTATTTTGTCCAGCTGCTTCATAAAGTCCCACTATGTCACCTGCAGCAGATAAATGACAAAGAATAAAATCAGAAGACAGAAAAGGTACCTCACATAAAAGCAAAGGCATTACAAAGAAATCACAAATATATGAAGCTCATCATTCCTCCAGCAACAAACAGGAATAAATCAACAGTAAAGACAAAGAGAGATGAAGCATCTAAGATACATCATTGTGGTAAACAATACATTGATTCTCATTCAATCATTGATTAGACAACTCAGGCAAGACCTAAAACTAAAATGGGAGAAGATTATAATGCTAATAAGAGAAAATTTAGTAGGCATAATAAATTTAATACACAATATAGAGAAATGTCAAAGCAAATGTCTAATAAAGTTTATATAGGTAGCCTATATGATTCTAGCATACAGAATACAACTAAGAAATCTAAGATGGAAAAAAAAATATTTTAAATAACAAGATAAATTTGGCAAATTTACAAGATCAGAGTACTGCAAAAGAAATAATCTTAAGGGTCAGAGATTTTAGAGAAACTGCTGAGAATGTTGATATAATTGATACTTAGTGATAAAACTTAATGAATTGTTTCCTGATCTAAAACCTATGGATAAGAGTATTGACTATGAAAATAGAGTGTTTGCTTCATGAAGATACAAAGACCGTGAGAGACATTGTATCAACATTTCTCACTGCACACATAAAAGACAAACTTATCTGAAAGAAATATGAGATACAAGAAATAAACTGAGAAGGAAATAGTGATGTTATTTCAAGATATCATCAGGATAAGTTATAGAAAAGAAAACAGTTCCAAGAAACAAAATAAGGAATAAGTGAAGGATCCCCTTCAAATTAATTATTTAAAACATTCAATTTTTTTCCTTTTTGAGTTTTAAATATTGCTATTCTTCAAAAAATAGGAAGTTTGGATATAAAAATAAATCCTTATTTTTCCTTTTTTGCTGTAATTTTGTATTTTATCTTTGAAATTATATAGGTGTATATGTATATGCATTTGCATATGTATATATAGAGAAAGAGGGAGAGAGGAATGGGGAGGTGGGGAGCTAAGGCAAGATCCTTAATAGGATATATGGTTGACAGACACAGTAGGGGAGGTGGCAGACAATGGAAAATCCCAATGACTGGAATGGGCTGGACTAAAAGATAGCACTGAGAAACTGATCATAGCAGCAGAAGAACAAGTACTAAATGCCAGATCCACAGAAGCCCACTAAAAAGGACCAGTGCTAACAGGCTATGTAAAGAGGCCTCACAGATAGTCCAACATAAAGTGGCAGGGTGTAAGATGTAGGCAGGAATGGCATAACCGAGTAGCTTGCATTGTGTATATTAACAGCTGTACAGAATATGGGCTAGATCCTCATAAACCTAAATGGGAGAATAAAAAAGCTTAAGATCCTAGGGGACTCCTAGATCCAGATGGACAGGCACTCTCAACCGTTGCAACTTGAAGATGGGCTTTTGGAAGCTGAAGGCCACCCATCTTCAAGTTACCAAGGTCAAGAAACACTGATATAAATTATTTGAAAAATAAATTAATATTAGCAAGAAAATACTTGTGAGTGACCAAGAAAGTTTCCTTGAATGTGGAAGTTTAAGAATTCTAATCAAAAGTACTAGAATTAATAAATATTTCAAATATTTAAATACATCTGTAATAATGCTATACGAAACATATATAAAGAAAGACATTAACAATGATTATTTTACAAAAATATTTTCTGGGTGTACAAATAAATCAAGCACAAGATGGCAAATTAAATGAAATCAATTTGAATTTTATAGTAAAAAAAGGAGGTTTAGTTTTATAAGGGGAAATGGGATAACTAAATATTAACACTTGCCTCGATATACGCTAATCTAGGACAAATGCATTTCCTTTAGAAAGTAACTCAACATTTTAAAAAATTGGTATAAAGAACTTGATTATTAGGAAGAAATTATAACTGCAGGCTTTTAGGGAAAATGGATACACAAAAATGTAAAGACAAAATTCATTGCATAAATGGCTTCCAAAAATTGTGCAGGCTAAAAAATTACTTAATACATAGGAATTATGAATCCCCAATCAAATAGATTTAGATATTACTGAAACAGATTATCTTAATCAAAAAATAATTAGTTATTGGCTTCTAAATTCTAAGTCATATTCAACAAGCTGAAATGTAGCAATGTAGCTGAAATTGTAGGTTAGACCATGCACTGGTGATCCTAAAGTTGAAATGAGATAACACCCCTTACTGTTGGCATTTCAATTTTATCTCAACACTTAATCCAGCAACAAAACCAAACCCCAGGTATTAAAACATTATTTATAGAAAGTTATACAAATCAAACACCTATGTAAAGTAAAATGTATTTAACTTTAACCCATTATCTGGGGGCAACTCAAGGCAGCACTCATCTCTATTGCTTCTATCTTCTATTTTCCACATAACAACAGTGTGAGGTTGGTCAGACTGAGAGGAAATAATTGGCCCAAAGTCATCCAGTGATTTTCATGCCTAAGGGAGAGGTAGTTTAATGTATAATATTAAAAGTTTATATGTTGCAGAAATAGCACAGTGAATCATTTGACAGAATCCAGAGAAAGTATGAAGCATGTGTTTTATAAAGGATATTAAAGTCTTCTGTTAATTCACAGGACATGTGGAAATTGTAATAATGTGTAAGATTACAACATTTTGAAGCTAAACTGTGCAGTGCCAATCAAAATGCAATAGTTATAAAGATAAGATTTTAAAATGACTGAATTGTACAGAAAAATGAGCAAGTATAATACTCTAAATTTGCTTGACTATCCTTTTGCTACCTTTCATGTACCAATGTACTAAAAAATAACATAGCAGATAAGATTTTTCCATAGCCCTCATGCAGACTGAAAGTAGGTCAGGTCTGATGAATTCATCAATTATGCATCAAGAGAATCCAGGCATTCTTAAGAAAATAAAACCCCTCCTAGTTGGTTACTGAAATAAACTATATGTAAAATAATAATAATTTATTAAACATCACAAGACACAAAGGAGGCAAAACTCTCAGTCATACCAAGTGATATTGCTACCCATGTGAGGAGAATCCACTAAAATTAACTTATATTCCTTTTAACTCTTTCCAAGGTTTCTCACTTTAATTCCCAGTGGGCACTAAAATTCCTGCACAGAGCTCAGAAGCGCTCCAATGCAATGGCAAAACCCACAGGCTCCAGAACACATTTTGCCATTTTGCTCTTTATCCATGGTCAAAACTTGAATACACAAGAGAACTCTTTGGCTAAACAAAGCTTAAAAGATGATGCAATCTCCCTTTTTTTAAATTCAAAAAAGTAAAAGCAAAAGGAGCATTGAAACCCACAGCTTTAGGGGGCAGTTCAGAATCAGTTATTTTAGGCTGTCGGACTAGCATCATCCAGAAAAACGAAAAGCTTTCCAGAAAACCCTGGAATGATGCTAGACGCCTTTCTTGGCAGGTACCATAAATATTCTGAAACACTGATACAGACATTATACCTCTATATAAATATAAGAAATGTAAGAAACATACACATTCTTATATGCCATTCCCATTTAGGTTAAAAAAAAACACAACTGTATCCACTTTGTTTACCAGTGAGAATACATTCTGTTCTGGAAAGTAATTGAGCTGTCAATGAAACTGATTAGCTCAATTGTTTAAATATAAGCTGTGGGGCATCTTTCATCATAACAATTTTAATGTAAGCTGTCATGATTCAATGAATATATTCTCCTTTAAGCCATAAGAAATGCCCTATGTAAGTTCACACAACATTACCCTCCACATGTATCTGATTTATTCACAACAAGAAAAATGCAATTGTGCATTACTGAACCCAATGTTGGAGTTTCTCCCCCTAGCAACTCTGAATCTAACTGAGTATGTTTCTTTATCACCTAGTTTCAGTTTAGAAAACTTGCCCCTCAGTAACAGCCTGTCTTGAACTGATTTTGCTTTTCAGCAAAAGATATGCTTTTCAAAATCCCTGAAGTTCTTTTCAAAGCACATCTTTGTCTAATTCTGCACACATCCTATTTCTAAACAACATTTTAAAAAGACAAAAGTTATCTTCCTGATTACTTCTATCATACACAGTACAAAAGGTACCAATCCTGAAGCATTAATTCAAGCATACAATTAATTATATAATTAATCCAACTATCTGTGGCAAGGGAAAAGAATGCCAGGAGGATCTTGAATCTCCCTTTTAAGCACAAAAACAAAAACAAAAAAAAACCCCAAACCCTTGAGATTCAATACCGATCCAAATTGAAAAATATGCCTAGAACCCATTGTTTTACCGAACTGGCCAGTAGGCAGCTCAAGGGTATATGTGTCCATGTGCTTGTCCATTAATGCAGTATTGTGCACATACTAAATAGCATTCTCAGTAACTGCAGCATAATGGAAAGATGTTTAATAAAGCTCTTGGAGAATGGCACTTTTTAGGCTACAGTCATATGATTCATAAACTGTAATAAACCTTATAATGTTTGGTTTTTGGCTTCTGAACTCAGCCACTGTGGTTGGTAAACCATGGTTTATGGCTTAAAATTTTATTAAAATTATGTTTGATCTATGCAATTAATACAAATCATGCCTTAACATGATGTGAGACCAGCCAAGCAGGAAGGAAAATAAAGGCTCTTTTTTAAAAAACAAATCAAAGGAGGAGTATGATTCAAATATTTATTCAGAAGTTAATCTTACTGAATTTATAAGCCTTTTCCTTAAGTGAGTGGATGCAGAACTATGACAAAATTACTTTACAAATATATGAAAATTGGATTCTAGCATGAGCCTCTACTAATATTGTACATTGTCTCCTTATGAAATAGTGAGTTACTAACATGAACTGTAATAAACCTTATAATGTTTGGTTTTTGGCTTCTGAACTCAGTCACTGTGGACCATAAAAAATAAAAACCTGGGTAAGGTCCATAGCACATTTATTTTCTGAGTGTATTTCAGATTAAATGAAATCGGAAATTTTACTACTGTTGTCAGCTATCTTGAGAGAATCTCCAAGATGCTCTTTCACTGTACTCACAAAAGTCATCATGACAAAAGACAACAACTTGACAAGTTCAATCTGAAATGATCAAGTTTGTTTGCACTCCAGAATAGACCAAGTCAGGAAGCAAACATAGCAAGGACTCTACTGTTATAGGGTAAAATAACAGAATCTTGAAAGCAAGCCAGCCAGCCAGAAGTGGCATTTTTCCTCTTTTCTACCATACAGAATCAAGGCATGGTTATTTTGAGTTTCTTTCTCCTGTTCCCTCATTTCCCAGAAATGTGTTTTCATTTACTTTATCTTTTGTAACAGTAAGGATTTATTAAACTTCTTTACCATTCAATTCGCAACAGTTCTGGGTAGTTTACAACAAAGAAATATTACAATCAAGTTAAAAGATAGCAAATGCAATAAAGCTTCCCTCCCCCAAATTGTAATTATGTAAATGTAGTTATTTTCAGGGGGAAAAATATTGCTTATTCTTTTACTGTAAATTGTCAAAACTGACTTGAATTCTGAGAAGTCCTTATCTCTGTTCATAATATATTTGTGATAATAACCTGTTTTTCTTGGGCAATTATATTTTTAAAAGAATGCAAAATATATGCTGCTAATAACTCCATGCCTGAATAAAAAAGAAGCCCAGTTTTCTCATTGTTTGGTGTAGCAGCTGCAATTCAAAGACTCTGATTCAGAAAGAAACCATCACATCATAAAGGTCTATCCTTTCAATATTTAAAGCTACACCTACCCTTTTATAATAACATTTCTTTCAAAATTGACACTTTTACTTACCAGGTCCAAAACTATTGGAAGGTAACTCTGTGTCTAAGCCACGTTTTTGTGGCTGTAAAGTTACAAGCAGATGGCCATATAGCCCAGTTTTTTGACAATGCAGTTCGAGTTTCAGTAAGCAAACTCCTCTACGCTGCAACTCTTTCAGGGAGATTCCTTCTTGCCATGCTCTGAAAAAGATCATGCAAAGAGAAAAACCAAGTCATTGTTAACTAGATACACCTGAGAAGCTAAATCATATTGTGGCCCTCTTTGTTTCCATCCAGAGAGAACATTGGTGGACAACAAAAAACATCTCCCATATAGATAATAATGTTATTTCATTTATTTAAAAGATGTGTATAGTCATTCATCTTAAACAATTCTAAGTGACTCATAACATTGTAACAAGTTTCTCAAGCCTCCAAATATGTTGAACACAACATTCATAATTTCCATTTGAAGGACATCAAGTTAGATAAAACTATTTTAAAAAGTCAGAGTCAGTAACAAGATTCACACATACTAAGCAATTACATTTAATCTTGGCTTAGCACAATACATAAAGCCAGCCACAACAGCTGATAATTATGGCTTATAATTTATTGTGTGAGCTTAACTTTGAATTGCAGCTAAATTTCCTAACCTATAAGTGAAGAAACCTTGCCATACCTCACAATATTCATATTTGTGTATTTTTCATGGCCATTTAGCATTTTGCAATTTCAAGACTGCTTATTTTCTTGTGCCATAATATCTTGCATACATTAGGCTTTGAATGAATCATGGAGCAAATCAAACCACTTTCTAACTCTTATGTCTATGTTTAGCAGGGATGCAGAAGATTTTGGGGTGGGGAAAACCACATATATGTTTTGAATGGTATGCTTGCAGCTACCCTCCTGAAAATAATAGATGTGGATATGATTTTTTTTTTCTCATTTCCTCCTAAAGTAAAGCAACATAATTAACAGGATTGCTCTCTAGCCATAAATTTAATTTCCCTTTCTGTCAAATTATGAGCTATAATTTGGTAATACATGGAGGTCTCCAAAGATTCCACTCAAGGCTTCTGTGGACAATAAATGGCTGAAGGACCTGGCATTGTGCATTCTCACCACCCATCTAAACAGCCTGTAAAAAAGAGTTGCCACTTTGTCACATATTCCTCTACTCCTATTTTTGTTTTTCAGCTGAATATTTCACCCAAGGAACATATTACATAGTTGTTAATATCAGCAAATGAGTAATAGTTCAAAAAAAGCTCACAAATTTAAGGAACAGATAATTTTTACTTCAACAGTTTTAATGTATGTGTATATGTTTAATTTGGCTATAATAAAACAGGTGGTTATTGCATTTCTCCAGAAATCAATTGCTAGACACTCCTGCGTTCTTAAACCTCATTGTCTGATAATGCAATGGCAATTGCTCAAAGTCACCTCCTCTACCCAATGTTATCTTAATATTTCATTTACTTATTTAATTTATATTCTTTCACAAGCTATTGATTCTTGTTAACGTATTGTACAAACCCAAACCACAGTAATTTATTCATAGTTAAACATACTACAGCTTTTTACAATGTGTGGTTCAAGTATACTGGTACAACTAGAAAAAATACTCCATTACTAGCTATAAGCTTTGGGATATTACTGTATTGAGGATGGGAAGAAATCTTAAACGTATCTCAAAGCTATTTGCTTTCTAAAAGTTCACTTCAGGGCCTACACTAAGCAACAAACTTTGGAGTAGGATTCATTAGTATGCTGATAACACCTGCTCTATTGTTCCCTAGCAATGCTGCTACAAAGCAGAAAGCAGTGACCTTTAACATTAACACTAATTTCAGTATTGTGCTGGATAAAGAACAGAAAAAGTTGAAACCGTACAAGTGAAATGAAGCCTGTTTTATTTATTCTCTGGGCTCTTAAAAAAACATATCCCATCAAAAGAAAGTGCCACTGTATTCAATGCATTACTATAGGTACAGGACTTTTCCTCTTATGCCTTAGCTAATGTGTTATTCTAATTACCTGCAGCTGTTATGATTTAGAGACCATGTTAATCAGTAACTTCCAAGCAGACCATATATGACACCAAAACTATATTTTAAGTTCAAGTATCTGGATTTTATATTTTAATGAATACTTTTAAATTATTAGTTCATTTGTAAGTGCTTTCAACTCTGCTAGCTATAGAACTAGAAAGATATTGACTGGGTTCAGACATAAAAATCTGTGCTATAATTGTTTGGATTAGCATACTTTGTAAATCAGTCATTCTGGCTAGCAAGCCAGTTTATCACTATTTTTGCTCTGACATTCTGGTCAACTGACCAGCAGTACCCTATAGTTATTCTGAAGTAAATACCACACAGGTTTATAGAATTTAGCCCTCACATAAGTAGCTTGTTTACTATGGTTATTTATCTGTTAAATATACAAATACACTATGTATTTACACAAGTATTTGTTTCTAATAGACTCAATTCTCCAATGGCAGGTTTGCTTAACTGTTTCAAGTCTTCAGTTATAAGGCAAGTAATACAGATACTCAAAATTAAACCGTTTAATTGAATATAGCAGTAGCAAAGCGAGGTTATCCTGCTGTCCCTCAAATGTTTTCGATTACAGACACCCTATCAATTCTTCCTAATGGCCGATAGACAGACCATACAGAAAGACACCTTATCTTACCCGTTCTTGCCCTAACAAATGCCTATAAGCCAGGTTGTAAACCAGCATTGGCTAGCAGCAATTTAGAATTTAGGAAGCAGATATTTGAATAAGCGTGTTTACAAAGGTCAAAATATATAACTTAAGTCGTTGCTTAAATTACTACATTCCTATTTTTGCTATGGGGACAGGCAGGGGGATGCTGAGAAACCCAACTGGCCCCTAGTCGAAGGGATACCTTGCTTCCGAAATTTCGGCCTCTCTTTCCTCCTTTAGCAACTCCATTTGTCGGGACACAAACTCTTCCACCAATGCCGCCATTGCTGTCGGCTTGAGCGGACGCCCCGAGAAGCCCCGTTCTGGTGACAGCAGGCACCAGCGTGCCGACCATGAACGGCCCTTTAAAACCTGGCTCGCGTTGCGCGACGGTCCCTATAAATGGCGCCCCACTGTTCCCAGGGCTCAACTTCCGATTCCGGTGAGGAGCGAGCGAGCGAGCGCGAGCGGGAGAAAACCTGGCCGTCTTGTAATGGCAATAGCGGCGTCTGCCTTTGGTTACAGGCAGCTTCTTTCTCGGACAGGTGAGCGCGGGCTGCGGTCTTTTAAAACCCAACGTTTATTCGTTTCCCGGGTTGGTTACCTTCTGGTGTTTTTCTGTAAATGTGGCTCGGCTGTTTTGTTCTGCATTTTCTGCCTGCATTATAATTATCCTTTGTGTTCTCTTTGCTGCTGGTTTTAAATCGAAAATCCTTTTCCTCTCCTGCATCGAGCTCTTGTTTATTCTGGCATTTTTCTTCAGGCAAGCCTTCCTTTTCCCCACGACCCCATTCTCCATACTCCCGAATTACGTTGGGCTTCATTCTCTGGCCGGTCATATAATTAAGAATGCTTCGGTTTGTAATTCACCTCAACCAGGTGAGGAAGGGTAGTTCAAGTCATAGATAATATGTGTGTGTTTTGCCTTCTTTATTGTGTTTTCGCTGCTAAGAGCAATTATGAGTTGCATATGTGAGTTCCCCATAATGCAAGTAATTCCTGTATTTATGGCCTTTAAGAAGTAAAGCATGTTAGTCAGGTTTTGAACCGCCAAAGTTCAAATGTTTCTTCCATTTCCCCCCTAAATTTCAATGAGGCCTGAGTGATTGTATCCTCTGTATTATGTTTGCATGTTTCATTTATATTATAAAAATATGTCCAGAAAACTTGAAGCTTTCTATTTTTGAAAATTAAATTCTGATTCAAACCAAACTAGCATAAACATGGTAACACTGATATTGCTAATAGTGCCTTTTACTCTTTTTAGTCTTTATTTTACTAATTTGATGGTATAAAATAGAATACTTTAAATATTCAACTTTTGTTCATTTGTTTTGAGTGCTTTGGTAGTTTATAACTTAAATGGCTTCACAGCTATTTTTTTTAGCATTGCCAAATTTTATTTCTTAGGATGTAAGTATATGATAAAACAAATGTTAATCTCCATCCCAACTGAATAGTCTGTGATGGCTACATTCTTGTTACATGTTTTTGAAGTCTAGTAGTTAAAGTGACAAGTTTGGTAAATTACACTTATTTTACTCTTTAGTGGTTACTCAAGAGCCACTCAAGGTTATATTTACTTCTTAGGTATGAATAGTATTAAGCAGCATCCCACATTTAATAAAGAGTAACATCTGAGTTACTAGGAGATTAGGTGGCTCAGTAGCTAAGATGCTGAGTTTGTTGATCAGAAACGTCGGCAATTTGAATCCCTAGTGCCGCATAACAGAGTGAGCTCCTGTCACTTGTCCCAACTTCTGCCAACCTAGCAGTTCGAAAGCATGTAAAAATGCATGTAGAAAAATAGGAACCACCTTTGGGGGAAAGATAACAGTGTTTGTGCACCTTTGGCATTTAGCCATGCCGGCCACATGACATGTCTTCCAACAGCACTGGCTCTTCAGCTTTGAAAGGGAGATGAGCACTGTCCCCTAGAATCGGGAACAACTGACACATATGTGTGAGGAGAACCTTTACCTTTAACATCTGATTGCTCCAATGGCAGTCAAAATTGAGATCCTACTATTTCCTTACTCTTTCAAGTTGGTAATATTTGAACAACACACACACACACACACACATACAAACACACACGCATTCCAAGAAAGTAAAGTTATTTGTCATTACATGCTTTGAAAGAGCTATTTCAATTAGTATATGTGCAATTTTTGTCTATCAGAAAAGTATTGGATCAGTTGGTGCAAACTTAAGCCTGAGGACTTTAGTCATCAATTTTTACTGGTATATTCCTGCAGATAACTGCTATTGTTCATTCAGTATTCATAAATGGGTAATTTTTATTCCAAGATTCTATTATGTGTGTTATGTAATTATATCTAAAAAGCCAAAAATATTTTTAAAAGATCTTTTCCAAAAGGAGGAAAGTCTTGTTACAGTCTTATTCACCTGGGTTCAAATAGCATTCCTAGCTAAAGCAAAGGCCTAATAGCTGGGTGCACACCATATGGTGAAATTTGGTTTGGTTTGTCCAAAGTGACAAAAATTTAGTCTGTTTGTTACTGTGGTTCAATGCCAAATTAAAAAGAGGTTAATTTAGTTCAGATTTATGAACCAACCATTTCAAACAATGGCTATATACCTGAAATGTCTAGAGCAGTGTGTCTCAACCTTCCTAATGCCGTGACCCTTTAATACAGTTCTTCATGTTATGGTGACCCCCAACCATAAAATTTTATGTTTTCCGTATTTTTTCGAAAATATGTTTTCCAATGGTCTTAGGCTACCCCTGTGAAAGGGTCGTTTGACCCCCAAAGGGGTCCTGACCCACAGGTTAAGAACTGCTGGTCTAGAGACCTTCAATAAGTTCTTCCTGTTTATGTTGAAGGTCACCCACTTAATTGCCCATTTCCTGTTTATAGCATCTTACAACATCCTTCCCCCCAAAAAATTACTTTGATTTTTTATTTTGTATATAAAAGCAATTGTTATGAAATAGAAGGAAAAAATGCATTTAAAAAGGCATAAACTTAATCTTGACCATATGGAATATTGCTACTCAGTCTATCCAGTATGTTTTCAGGAACTCAATTCATATAGAAGAATGAGCACACATTTTAGGATTTAAGATCTGGTGCAGCATATTGTCATAATATTTGGCTATGTTCCAGTATGCCACCTTACTGACAACTATGCTGATTGTCTACCTAGTACCTCATTAGGCCTGCCTTTATATCTGAAGCTCTTTATAATTCTCATAAGCCAGAGGTTTAACTGATTAAGTCTGCCTAATTAAGTAAGATTATTTACTGTTAGACTCTTGCCTCTCAGACCCCAAAAGGGTTGCAAAGATCTTTTTGTATGAATTGTATCTAAGGAGGAGTATGATGATTCCAGTAGAATTTTTACTCTTCCTTAAAAAGTGTAAACTATTCTTACTAATTCTAGAATTGGAACATCTTCGTCCTATCTGAGTGATTTTTTGTCCCTGGTTCTCTTTCAGCATTTCTGTTGAGGTCTACAGTTCGAAGTCTGAGTGCACAAAACACTTCACCAGTTCACGGGTAAGATCAGTACATTGCAGAATGTTTTCTTTTCTGCTTTGGTATTCTGATTTAGTTTTATTAGATTTAAATAACAAATTTAACCATTTAGCCTCAATGTTGTGTGAAAGACAGTATGCTGTTAATTAACTAACATTTTACCCAAGGGAAAAAATATTATTCAAATCATATTCATTTGAAATTGTCTTTGTGTTACTGCCAAATTGAATTATATGAATATGTTTCATGAATCCTTTCTTCTTTTTCATCCATTATTGGGACATTATTGAGCCATAATATGAGGACCCAGATTGTTAGGGGCGATATGCTGACTCTGAAAACTACTTAGGGCTGTAAAGCACTATGAAGTGGTTTATAAGTCCAAGCACTATTGCTTTTTAGGGGCTCTTAGAGCACTGTATGGGTGCCTAGTTCTTTTTTCTCTTCCTCCTCATCCTCCTCTCATGGTTTTGGGGGACTTTTTACACCTTTTATGCTGTCGGGGCTTTGGGAAATAGCAATTTTTCTGTTGCAAATAATGGTACAGTTATTTACTTATGATCGTTAGTCACTTTAGAGTCTCATTGTACAAAATGGCCTACAACTAATCAATATAAGCAATTGTAACAGAAGAAAAGAGGGATTCCAGCATGCAAGAAAGTCCATAATGATATCCCCTTTTTACATAATGCAGGCCATGTTGTCTTTCTTGCAGTATTATAAGACAAACCCCAATGCTAGATAATTCTGCAAGACCTGAATTTACATACTGATGCTATAAGACACTTGAAGCAAGTCAACAGTTACATAGTATTTTAAATGTTTCCAAACATGTATTAAAAAGTCTTTATGTCCTATTTATTCCTAAGAAGCATTCACTTTTTGCATTCATTTTCTGGTTTTCTCTTTCCTGGCTTCTTTTATAAAGGTAGCAGTCAAATAAGTCATTGAGATTATCACCTCAGCAAAATGATCACTTTGCTGCAGATGCATTTCTTTGCTTGAGTGTATAAACAAAATTGACAAAATGTTTAATTTTAGATCTTAGAACCATCTTAAGGTAACTGCCAACTTTGGAATAAGCTAGAAAATTACAACAACTTTAAGTTATGGTTTAATATTCTTAGATTGCACCCCAAATTGATAACCAGTTTTTCAATTCAGACAGAATTAATTGAACAACTGGTTTGCTCAGTTGTTTGAGCAGAGGTAAATATAATATCTGCAACCAGAAGCCTTGCTTTGACTTAGTATACTGCAATAAATTGTCTGAATTTCTTCATTACCTCATAATAGTTTTAACTGATTATTGGCTGAAAAAAACAGAATGAATTGTATGTACTGGCTTCTGAGCCTAATCATGTTTTTTTCCTACTTTAATGCAGTTCTAAAGTATAACATTTCAACACAAGAGTTTGAACTTGCTCCCAGCTTTGCAGTACGTGGCATTAAAGAGATCACTTTAATGGTTGTAGTGCTCTAAAAATTCTCCCATTGTATAAAGATACTCCAGAATATTCATAAATCAGCACTGTAGAACTGAGTTGGAAGCTAAGCATTAACCTGCAGTTGCAGATAAGGGAGAAAACAGATATTCTGTGCAACTTGTTCCAGTCCTTGCTGCATACCATGAAGTCAGCCAGTGTGAAGCTTGATGGAACCAAGAGCAGAAAAAGCAAAAAACAGAGTCCTCTCAACCCAGCAACACCTTCTAGTGGCCCAGGCAAAATGGCTACAGGAGCTACTTCTAAAATCAAGAGTTTCTCCTTGCCATCCATTTCTTCCATAGCCACTGTAGAAGCTGCCTCTATTGGCTCTTCTCCTAAAGCTGGCCCCAGTTTTCTGGATGCAGTTGTTCCCTTGAGTGTTAGCAGAGGCATGGATCAGGAAGAGATTCAGAAGGAACGCTATGGAGAGAGGACTCCCCTGCAAATTCCTAACCAAAGTAGAATGTCAGCTTCAGCTGCAGAAGCAGTATCAAAAATAGAGCCAATCAATCTCGATGAAGGTGTAGAAGTAATAGATCTCACCGGTGACACTTCAGTGGTTGATCTTACACATAACTATTCCATTGTACTTGCGGAAGAGACTAGACCACAGCAAAACCAAAAATTAAGAAGCCGCCCACTATTTAACAGCTGTATAGTATGTAATGATAATGACAATGAATGTAGTGAAAGTGAGGAGTTGGCTGCCAGTAAATTGCCTAGAGAGTTAGAAAAGGAGAAAATTGGAAGTCCAAAATTTTCAGGCACTGTGAGTTGTCCAATTTGCATGGATGGCTATGCAGAAATTATCCACAGCGGACGACGTATAATGTCAACAAAATGTGGCCACATCTTTTGCAGTCAGTGCCTCCAAAATTCTCTTAAAAGTACAAACTCTTGTCCTTCTTGTAGGAAAAAACTCAATCACAAACGATATCATCCAGTATATATATGAATATATGGATGAATTTGGTAATCTAACTTTCTCATTTGGCTGCTTTGTGTTTTGTTTATTTTATGTAAACTTAATTGTGTAAGGAGCATTATAGCTCAGTTTACTCGGGGACCATGGACCCCCATCTACTGAAACCTATGTTTAAAAAAACCTGTACAAGTAGTGAAGAGAACTTATTTTTTGTTTAATTGTAAGCCAGTTATAAAAATATTGATGCAATCAGGCAGAAGCTGATGAAAAATGTAGGGCACTGTTACAAGCATCTTATTAGAATTAAATTAATAAAATTGAATGCAGTTCACTACTTTTTCATGAATTCTCCTGCTTGAAATTACACAACTCTGTGAAAAATAAATGTTACTTGTGTTTAAGAGAGGAAAGTGCACTTTTTTGATATTTGTTTTCAAAACAGATGTTGGCTTAGTAATAAAGCTTTAAACAACCTTCAGATATTTGTTTTATAAGCATATAAATATAAATCCTTCTGTATTTATAGGCAATTAATTTTAATTTATGTAAATAAAGTTTTTGATGGTTTATTAAAAATTCATTTAATTGTCATGTTTTAATCATTTTTCAGATATTAACTATTTCCTTAGAATTGCTTACTGGCTTTTTTCTTGAATTGTAGCTGAAAAATACAAAGTGGTCCTTGACAGAGAAGTAGATGGTTTCTTATCACTTAGGTTTATTGTTAACTAAATTCTTAATTAGGGTTTCCTAAAACCAGTACCAAAAAGCAGGTTATGGACAGACAGATAACATTTGTTCTGAACCTTCACAGACAACTGTGCCCTTAAAAATGCAGAACAAAGGTTTCTGGTGACAGTAGGGAAGATGATGACATTAAACCAGATTACTTTTCATGCTGCTGCAGAGGGTAGCGTAAGTGATCTTTGGAAAAAGATACTGCTGTGTTAAGGAGTTCCTGACATGCTATGTGAGCATCTTGATGTGATACAGAACTCCTTTTTCTCTTTGACAGTAAATAAGTAGCATGAACTTGAATGGAAGATATCTAACAAACTGGATGAAATGTTTTGGGCCCAGCAGGTGGCAGCACATTTTGAACATCCTTGAAAAAGCTACAGATAGATGTTAGTATTTGGGATATCTGATCACAGGGAGATAATTTAGGTGGTAAACTAGATTAGGAAGCTGAAAGGTCAATTTGGAAGAAAGCTGTGACAAAATGCTGCTTTGCTATTGCCACAATGTGCCCATCTGGTCCCCAGGGTTGAATTGAATGAATGTCTTTATGCCTGCCTTCTCTCCAGGAGGCAGAGAACATGCTCGTGTTTGCATGACACTCCTGGGGCTCTATAATGTCCCTGTCTAGCCCTATAAATAGCTTTATATTCCTCGCCTCCCATCATAAAGTCAAGGGAAGAATAATGTTCTCCTGCCTGTTAGCTTCTCTCTATATTCACCCTTGTCTTCTGGCTGCTAAAGCACAAAGATGTGATTACATCACTATCTCAGGTATTTGGTAGGAAACAATTGTCTTAGCATTAATAGCAATATTAATAGCAATACATTGAGAGTTAAGGTAGCCGTTTTGTTATATAATTGCTATTAAAATCAGCTGTGCAATTTGGACTCATATAATACCATAACTTCATGCTCTTTAGGCATGCAAAGTCAATATATTAAAACACAAGCATTCTAGTCTGTCCCCAACATGTTGGTTTTCTTTTATTTTATAATACTTGAGGCATTCCTATTTTACATAAATATTCATCTCAATACACCATCTCTAGTTTTCATTCTGTGGTTTATTTCTGGTGTGTGTGGCATTTAACCTAGTATTTTACTTCTTAAAATCTTATAATTATTCACATGAGCCTTAAAAATAAGATTTGGTTCTCATGTGCTCAATATTTTCTGAGGTATTTTCAATATTTTTCAAAAGCCTACACATTCTCACTGATATGAATGATATGCTTGTAAAGCATAGCAATGAAGCACTGCAAACGTACTTTTTTATTCAGCCAGTACAAAAATTATTTTTGGTATACTATCTTTTCAAGAAGAGTATCTTAGATACATAGCAGGATTTCATATGCTAGATTTGTTTCTGTGTTCATTGGGATCTTTGGTCTCCAGAGTGCACTACTGTTACCTATGTGAAGATATGGTGTGGACAATTCTGGAGGCTCCTGGGGTGGCAGAAGTGACACTACTGTTATATGAGCTGCACTGATTGCCAGTTTGCTTCCAGATCCAATTCAAGGTGTTGGTCATTACCTTTAAAACGCTTTATGGCAGGGTTCCAGAGTATCTGAGGAACTGCCTCACTGTGTTGAGATTAACCTGTCTTATTTGTTCCATTACAAAGAGCTACTTCTGATCCTGTCAGCCAAAGAATTTCGGCTGGCAGAATCCAGGAGGAGAAGAACCTTTTCTGCTGTGGCCCCCTCACTCTACAATATTCTCCTGTTCAGAGATCAGATTGGCCCCCACACTCCTGGCCTTTTGGAAGAGCCTAAAAATTTGTCTCTGCTGCCGCTACATTGTTGATGAGATAGAGAAGATTCTCTCCCCCCAGGCTGCTCATCATCTTGGTTTCTAATTTTAAT